CAAGGCCCTCTATGAGGGGGATTGATTCAGTGACTGGGATAATTGGGATGGGAGTGTCAGAGACAGTGCGATTGGCACAGGACAGAGCGGAGTTTAAGGCTGTTGTACATGGGGTCGCTATGAGTCGCAGGCGACTTGAGGGCACATAACAACAGCAGCATATTAAGTGTAATCTAAACTGTAAATTAATAAGTTGGAATGTAAAACCAACCATTCTGTAACTAGAGCTTCCTTTCTCATCTACAATTAAGATTGAAAATTACTTTAAATTAAAATTAAAAAAAAATTACTTTAAATTAACAATGGTGGTATAATTAATCCACTTGATTTTATTCTTCATTTTTAATTACTTGAATTTTTTTTTAAAATAAGCAGGTAAATCTATGAAAATAATGAAGTTATTAACTCTAAAATATCCAAACAACAAACTGCATTATGAATATAAAGGAGGTAGTTGTGGATAAACGATAGAGGTATTAATTCAAAGCTTTTGTCAATGATTGAATAACAAGAACCAAGAAAGCCTCCTTACGTTTTGTCAGGGCAGGTAGTTTAAAGCTGTTGAATTTGAAATATGCCTGTAAATGTGTCAACTTATGCCAAAGTTGGCTTGTTTGTTTAATTAAGCTTCTGGCTAGATAAATTTATTATAATTAGAGGACAGGAATGTTACAAATATCATTTATGATTGTTACTGTAATGCAATTTTCAAATCTAAACTGTTATGATGAACAAGCCTTTGATATTTGTAGTCATTCATCTTCCCACATTCCCAGAATTTTCCATGAAAACCCTCCAGTCTTTGAATTTAATAACTTTAGTTTTTAAAAATAGTTGTTTCATTGTAGTGTAATATGAATATTAGAAAAGTTTCCAAATTAAATATTCCATTTGAATAAAACTTTTGAAACAACAAAGAGCTTGCATGAACACAATTTACTATCCTTCCAGTTCATTGTTTTCTTGTCATTTTTCTAAATACAGTGATCCTAAAATAGAATATATTAGAAAAATCTATGATGGCTTGATAAATATAGAATAATGCAAGTATTAAGAGTAGGTAAAATTTTCTGTATTATCAGCAAAGTAAATAAAATTTGGAAATTTTACCCTAATAAGCCTACTTATCCAATTTAAATGTAACAATTATTTTTATCTTTTCCCTTTTCACTCATATTTCTGTATGCAGGAGCAAGTATAGCTTCTAGCCTGTCACAAGTAAATTCCTTAATCCATTAGCTGCTTTCCTATATTTCCTAAATGTAGAACCTGAAGTTTAATGGTCAGACTGTTGGAAACGTTAGCAAAAAAGCTAAAAAGTGAATAATGGAGATTGAAACTTTCTGAAAAATAGGTCTTCAGCCTGCTTCATTTCTTTCCCCCTTGGAGGAACTAATGGATTCCAAATAACAGCTGGTTAGCAATCCAGTGCTTAATTTACCACAAGGACACTGTGTGGGATATGACTAGGGCAAGATAAGATTAAACCTGACCTAAGTTACCCTAATGGTTGAAAAGCCTTAATTCTGCTGGAATCTAGAACTCTTGAGTTCACAGAATTGAAGTAATCCACCCAGCTCATCTGCCTTAATATCCTTTTTGGTTTTTTTTAAATGAAAGGAGACTTTGGATTTCCATTCATTCATTATTGCACTTTCCTCCATGCTCACCCTTCCCCTCCAGTTCCCATTTCCCTTTGAAAAGTAAAAAAAAAAAAATTTTCACTGTTAAACAATCTCCTCCACTGCTTTCCTCCACCACATAGCTTTCATTCTGGACTCTTGTCATGACAATAATACCTAATCATATATTCTTCCTAAACAATTCTCTCCCTCATGTTTTAATGCAGTATACATTATTTATTCTTAGTTTCCCTCCATCTCTGATGTCAGACAGGCTTTATAACAGTGGCACTATGCAGTACTTTTCCTTTTGTGGCTATTTCCCTCAGCGTAATGTCCTCCAGGGTCACTCATTTTGTATTATTTCCTTACTTCCTTGTTTTTCAATGCAGCATAGTATTCCATTGTGTGCATATACCAAAACTTCTCTACCCATTTGTTGATGGCACTTGGGTTTTTTCCAGCTCTTTGCTGCAATAAACATGGGTGTGCATATGTCTGCTTGAGTGGAATGTCTTCTTTGGTGAAGTGTCTGTTCATATCCTGTGCCCATTTTTCAATTGGGTTGTTTTCCTTTATCTTGTTGTGTTTTATTTTATAAATTTTTGTGTTGTATTTTATAAATTCTAGATGTAAGCCCCTTATCAGCCATGTCATTACAAAATATTTTCTACTCTGGAGGACATTATGCTGATGGAAATTATCTTAGTCACAAAAGGACAAGTATCGCATAGTGCGTGCCACTGTTGTAAAGCAGGTCTGACATTAGATGGGGGAGAAACTATGAAAGGATAAGTGGCATATACGGCATTGAAACAGATTAGGGAGAGAACTGTTTAGTGGCGTGGAGATGGGGAGGCAGATTAATAATGATTTAACAACGAAAGGGTTTTTTTT